TATCGATAAACATATACAACTGCTACCTCAATAAGTTCGACTCCCTCACCTTCCACTGTCGTAACTTTTATCTTTGCAGCATTTGGTACTTTGTCCACTAACGAGAGGTCTGATTTTGTTTTCGCAACAGATAAACGACTGAGGGTTGTAAGCACTATTGTGGCACTTTGGGTACACTTTCCTTTCGAAACAAAAGTTTCGTTGGCCGTCGTAACTCTTGGTGTGACAACATGTGCTATACTGACCGCCTACACGAGGGTTTACCACTCCATGACAACATTTCTGGGTAACTGGATTGTAGGTCAGTTTGCCGCAGAGTGGGTAGATAAGTCTTCGGTAGCAGAAGAAGAAGCGGGAGTCGTAGGTATGAATCCCACAGCACTTTGCGTGATCGCCGCCAACTCGTCTGACAACGTGTCCCTCACAGCATTTAAAGTAAAAGTCTAAGAGAAGAGAAACAGAAACTTTTTAACCCTTTACATCCTAAACATCAGTATACATATTCTCTATATTGTTCTCTATACATTTGCTAAGGTGATGACAAAGAGAGTCTGTTTATCAATCAAGAGCCTCTTTCATTGGTAATTATTCCTTCTATTCTCGTGACCTTAATACACCGTTCCGTCAAAAGCGCAAAGGTTTTTCAGCTTTAGAGACCTACCTATTAAGAATTCTGACCAAATCTCGCCAAACTTTTTTGAAAGCCCACTCTCCTGATCTTACTTTTGATGTCAGAATGAATGGTGATATAGCTGAGTTACACGTCAAAAAACTTGCTCAAGGGATCAGTGTATGGTTGAACAAGATTTTCTCCTCGATCATTTTTGCCAATTTACGCGCAAACTCCGAAAAAAACCTCACTTTGCCTTGTTAAGAGTTGTAGTGTGAACGAAGTCACGACTAAAAAATGCATAACTTCAACTGTCGACAGCAACAAGAGGTTGCCGAATAGGGAGTATCTGTTACTTTATTCCTAAAAAGGTTCCTATTGTAGATCCGTGGGATATTCATGCGAATTTCCTTTTTTCGTCCACTGGTAAACCAAGCACAAAATCATTTAGCACCACACTCATTCAAACATTATGAATCCTTCAACTCTGAGTACAACACAACTGAGTCTTAAAAATAATTAAGTTTTTGTTTTCAAAAGACAAACATTACTCTCTTTCCTATGGCTACAAAATTTGACCGATATCATTGAATGGAAGGAATTGCTACCAAAGATAAGCAAGTGAATCAGCTCTGCTCAGTTACTTCGCCAATACGCTTCTTGAACCAAATAAGAAATACAATTTTGGGTCCAATCTTGAAATGGACCGATACGGATTCCTGTGGACTCGCTTATTCTCAATCGAATTTCCAACACCTTGATTTTTTTGTTCACGAGTTTAGATAAACGTCTATCATGAAATTTCACTGTCTTCATTCATTTTCTAGTTTTTTTACTTTCCAGAAATCTTTACTAACAAAATAGAGCCCACGCAGATAACAGTATTAGACGAACCAAATACACTCTCTTGCCATCCGCAATATTGCAGAATTAATTCCTTTTGAGGATCCTTATAATAGTGACCTAAACTATGTCTAATTTTTTGTTAAAAATAACGATTGATTAAATTGGCTCCGACTCTGTCATAAGAAAATATTCTTGATAGTAGCAATGCAACGATCAATTGAATGCATAACATAACACTGGCACAAATATGAAGGGTAGGAATAACACTAAAGTTGATGAGAAAAAGTTCGCCGTCATCGACGAAAATAAATATGAGAAGGGGAACTAATCACTTAGGTTCCTTTGAAACTTAACGCGTGCCTCATGTTCTGCACGTTAGTAGTGTTTTTAATAGAATGTCATCTTGTTTTGAACCTTCTTTGCAATGAAATTAATCAAGGCGTCCTTTCGGATGCTGCTCTCTATCTCCTTCAAAAAATCACGTTTTTCAATGCAAAAACAGGTGTCATATCGTTTTCTCAGTACCACGCCTAATACAGACATATACGTGGTCAAGATTTGTCTTTTGTTTAAAGTTCGATTTGAGAAAAATTGCTGAGGGAAGAGTCATAAGTTTTGCATTTAGTATACAGCCAATTTACTAAATTAAAGTTTCGTGTTATATATTTCATCATTTAACAAAGCTCTTTTTGATTCTACTTTACAACAACTTTCCAATTGAAAAAGTCATCGAAAAACAAATTAATCAAACTGTGATGATAAGCTGTGACATTGTCATAGTAACAAAGTAAAGCAGGCACTATCTGAGTTTCCTTTTTTTGAAACGAAGAACACTACATCAGAAATTTGGAAAAGAATTGTAAAATCAGGGGATTAATTTTACTTTGACAGAAGAATTAGATACAAGCTCTTGTTGGTAGAAACAGGAAACTGGGGAAGGAATCAAGTGAAAAAATAATTTCAGAATCGTAAGGGGTTACTGTCATTGACCGTGGGAAATGACAAGGTAATTTAGATAAAATTTTATAATGCTATCGTAGCTCACCTTTCAGGAATAAAGATACGTTCAATTTGCAAAATAACATGATCTTACCTAAGTGTCTGAATTTACTCATCATCTGACTTCCAACATTTGAACTTGTTACATCTTTCGCTGCGAGTAAGACACCCAAAGACACGGTTATCACCGATACAAACAACATTTTGTGTTCAGCTCAGCCAGCCAGTCCAAGTCTTTGGAAATGCTGCCCAATGGGTCTCTCTTATAACAACACAAGACTGTCATTTTTTGCTAGTAAGAGATAAGAACATGAAATATGACCTCTTGGGAGTTAAGTGGTCCAGACAAAGCCGTAGACGTTAGCAATGAAATACATAACAATAATAAATGTACTTGTACAGCTTGGGTACACGGAAAATGAGGGCGTGAAACTCTTTTTCAATCTGGGTCATGTCATTAGTAGCTTTCTTTCTCGTGCAAAATGGATAATATCGTTAAGTCGAATATCCATTTAATTCATAGCATTTGGATCGTTGAATTTTTGGAATTCACCATATGTCACTGAATTCCAGCAATAACATTATTTTTCTTCTTTAGAAGAAGTTTTTACAAATTCTTTAATAAACTAAAATTGAAATACAGACAAAAACTTGAAATAAATTCAGAGACCCCTTTTTCTTGTGTATTCGACCTTTTTCTGTCATATTGGTTGTAATGCGGCTCAGTAGATATATCAAGCACGATGGCAAATATTTTAACAGAAAATGCAACATTTTTCCATACCGTTTATAAACGCTAGAAATAACAAGCCATGTCGATCACAACTTGGAGCGAGATATTATGCAAAAAAAAGATGGAGGAACCTTCTATCGGGTGAGAATCGCAAAAGTTTTCCGTATCATAAAAAGCGTGGTGTAGACAGAGAACTAAATGTTAGTAATACAATATATACGTGTATTTGTCTGTCGGTAGCTTTGGTTTCACAAAACTTCAGGGGGTTGAACGTCTTCTCTAGTAATGACGTCATGAGCAGTTTTCTTCCTTCAACAGCAAGAGCTAATATTGTCAGTCGTATATCTACCTAAAACGTCATGATTATTCACTACGGTAAATATTTTGAATCTCACGCGATTGAGATGTATTTCTCTAGCTGGCCTTTTAATATATTGCTATTACCCTTAGTGATGAAAGTTCTCGAATGATATATTCTTGCGACCTCTTATGACGAGACTTTATTTATAAAACCATTAAGTTTTCCACCTTTAATTTATTGCCAGAAAAGTTAAAAAAAATTTAAGGAAACGGAAGCATTACTTGCAGATATACGTTTTCCTTGTTGACTGATTCATGCAAAAAAAATGTATCAAAAATTTTGCAAACAGTTCATTTTGATTATTTCAAACTTTCCTCGAAAAAGCAGGGAAAGGAATTTTCCAAGAAACCTATTGAAATCTCATGAGAGATTTCAGGCATGATCATCTTAAAAGCATGGTTTACTTATAAAGGGCGATAGAGATTGTGCTTGCGATTAAATTAGCGACTGATTTGATGAATTACCGGCCGCAATGAAGTCTGTTTGAAGTGGAAGATGGAAAAGTTTTGCTTGTATGTTGCTTTGTGCACGCACATTTAACGCTTTAAACAAACTTTCTGTAGGTTAAATGATACCATGCAATGCAATATTGCGTGTAACCGAAGGTAAAAGAACAAAAACAGAATCTACCCCAGTGAAGCAACATTTCACCTGAGGAATGAAGACTAATCAAAATCGAGGGATACTTCAGAAGAAAAAAGACAAAAAAACTGTACTATAAGATTTGGCGTGTTGTATTCTGGCGTGTCAAGTTCGTTTCAAAAATGGAGCTAAAAGCAACTGAAAGGGAAGCTATTCTTGATTTCGTGCCGGTTCCCAAACAGGTCATCTATAATCATTTATCATCAGAATTCTGCAACTGAAACACTCAGATTGAAATGTCGAGTCATGTTGCGTTAAACCTTGAGTCTTGACAACTACCTTGCAATTAAAAAATGCTCGGCAGGTCATTTGTGAGATTAAGGTTTCTTTCATAAAGTTTACTAAGTACTTCCCTTTTTATGAACTTTTACGATTCAGTCATTGTTTTCCTTCTTTTTCTCGGCTGAAATACCTGAGACGGAAGTTGAAACGTAAATTACAAATTAGTTCAGCGCTTTTCTGGAAATCGAGGCGAGTCGAAAATTACAGAAGCTCCACCCGGTGAAAAAAATTTTAATTATGGAGGAGTTTGGTCGATAAGTATACTTTAATCGTCATAGATGTTTCAATCAATCGTTGTTCATAGTTGTGTTTAGGGAAGAACTATACCATAAAAAATGGTTGCTGATGGGAGTTTTTAATTTTCAGTTTTTAACCTCACTTGGGACACATTTTGAATGGAAATTCAAGATTCAAACATAATGTAGCTTTTTTCGTGATTCAAAATCCCGAAACTGCATGATTTGACTCATTAAGAGCTTGAATTTACCTCTGAACAGACAGGTTAACTAATTCCTTTCAGGGGATATGAACTTTTAGTTCATCAATTCTCAATGATTGTCAGTAAAGAGGTTCTCTAGAATTTTTTTGTCTTTGATGAAAACCTAGAAGTAATTGTGTTTTTTAACGCCTAGAATTCATTTATGCCAAATTCGTCTACCATTTGCCTCGCTTTGCTCCGCAGAAAGGAATGCGAAACAAATACTCGCGTGATAAACACCAACATATTGATGTAAAGCGATCGAGACTTTCGTAATCATCTTAAAAAGCGTTGTGTACCTATTAAGGGCGATAGAGATTGCGTTTGCTATGAAATGAGAACAAGATTTGATAAATGACCGGCTACGACGAAATACTTTTTAAAATAGAAGACAAAAAAGGAAAAATTAATGATCTCTCACATAATAAGGTTTTTCTTAGCTGGAAAAATGTAGGCGCAGTTCTGCTCGAAAATTAGGTAAACGAACAAACTTTTGTTCAAGTTTTTGTGCTTGTGTTTTTTTTTTACAGTGATGTGAAATAATTCCATATAGCCGTAAGATCGAAAACAAAGATATTCTGCTATCGATTGCTCTGTCGTGCAGCTATGCGCATAAATATAAATTCTTTTCACCTGAGCACTGATTCTTGTTTACCGTCGAGGAGTAATTACATATTGTTAAAAACCTATTCTTAGGATTCGTGATGTCAGCAAGCTCGTGACGGGAATTCCTTTCAAATTATTTTACGTGGAAAAAATATCGAAAACGGTTTCCCTGCAAAAAAGGCGTTTTAATGTCTTTTAAGAAATGGAGCTATTTCCATTATTTGGATAGATCGCAGGGGATATGTTTACTGTCGCGGTGGTGTTCCCAACCTGGTCAGACTCAAGTTTTTCTAATAAAATCGCTTACTATTGGTCATTACTGAAACACTGAGCTGGAAATGAGTCAAGCCCCGTTAAACTTGTACCAGGGCAACTAGCTTTTGTTTGGATAACTTATAAATGGTACGTACGAGAAGAATACTCCTTATATTCATGATAAGCATGTCAAGTTCTTCCTTCGTAAAAAAAGTTAACAAAACAGGTGTTATACTGTTTCTAGCTTTGGGAAGTTATTTTCCTCTTTCCTTTTGCTGAAAGTAGACGAAACACGAGTTGAAAGGTAAATAAAAGTTCATTTTGGCGCATTTTAAGAATTAGAGGGGATGGAAAACCCAATTTTGAGATCCTAATCGCTGTTCTACGTAACGAAAAAATATCAATATTGAAGGCGTGAAAAATAGATTGTCTACGCTCGAAAGCCCACAGATGTTTCCGAAATCACCGTGGATGTTTTTTTGACTAAGAGAGTTTGAAAGATTGTCACAGTAAAAATGGTTGACGGAAGTTTTGAACTTTCAGTACTTTTTCTTCACTTGGACAGTGTTTCGGAGGACCAGAAGTAATTCAAATAGTAAGCATGCACTCTTTTGCATTGTCTAAATCACGAAACTGCGTGATCTTACGCATGATGTGTTGAAAATATATCGTATTTACCTCTGAGCAGACACCGGATATAGAGATAATTCAAGCGTAAGGTTGATTAATTCCTTTCACGAGAGATATTTGGTCCATAATTATGTCTAGATTGACTTAAAGTTTATCAATGCTTAGTGCGTTGGTGGATAGACTATTTGGAGATAGTGAATGTAAAGGAAAACCTAAAAGCAATTGCGGTATTGCAATATTTGCAGTTAAAATTCTAATACTGTGGTGGGGAGATGTCGAGATTGTGAATAAAATGTACTGATAAATAGTGTAAACTAGAACAAGCGATATCAACCATAACGTAAGCTTGATATGGAGGTTTTAAGTGCTGTACATATAATTTACGTGCTCGCGACTACACCCCCTCAGTGGATGAATTTCAATAAAAAAAGAGAATATGTTATAGTGGGCGCATAAACTTCGTTATGCAATTTTTGTTTAGACAACAACGCCTGGCAAAATTCGAAAAGAAATGACGGCTAGTCATGGAGGAGGCTGTGGCGTCAGAGCCTGTTTTAAGTTTTCTGTCTAATTTCTTTTGACAAAAGAAAGACTATATTGGCAGTGATTTTCCTAGCACTTGGAGCGTATTTTAAAAGAAATCTATGGAATGACCTTCAGTGGCTCCAAATGTTTTTCTTAACCTATTTGTTCCATAGTTGTTCAAGAATGGTATTTAGACTAGACTGGAATCAACACAAAAAAAAGAAAAAAAAGTCACCTTAATAAGAGAAATGGCTCTAATGTGATTTGATTTGGTTGTGCATAACGGGTTGTGCAATTAAGATCTTAAACTTTTCCTTACAAACGTCTGGCTAACGCTGTTCGAAGTATTGAAAATGACAAACAAAATCCATCGGATAAATCTCTATCCGGAGGATAGTACAGTGCGTTTTGTTAGCTCGTATCCGCAAGGTAGGAATTTATCTGTTGGATGGCATGATCTGCCCTTTGGACAACTGCGCCAAGTAGCCCCTTTCTTTTTCAAATAGGCGTTTGCAGTAAGCCAATGTGCAAGGTACAAGGAATGTTCACTTGTCATTGCATTAAACTCTCATTACTGATTCAGGAGAGAATGAATGGAAGCAGAAATATTGCCAGTCAGATCCCGGTACTGGAAGTATTTATAAACGTGTTGCACCGTATGTTACTCGAAATGTTAAGAAGTGGTTGGTGAATTGTAAATGGTTTTATGTTCTTT